CATTAACTCCAAGCAGGTGACTTCCAAGATTCTACGGTCTATTTCCTCCTGGACTCATACTACATGGATGCTGAGTGGAAAGCCTCACACCTGAGAGGTCTTCAGGGCAAGTCATGACCCAAACTCTTGCTCTTGCCAATTCCTTTTTCCTGGTTGACAGCAGTACCCTTCTCTCCTCAGGATGGAAGTTTCAGAATCAACTTTCATTCCTTTCCACACTCGATTAGATGTCTCTCCATGGCAATGGTAAGTCAGTCCCTTAACACTTCTGGGCTGATTCAGTAAGTCATACCACTTCCCTTCTCATAAGCGTCTCAAAATTCAACCTTGTGTAAGGATTGACATTCTATTCCTTCTTCCAATATGAGGATGAGCTTTAGGATATGAGTTCTACATACCTTTCATGATCATCTCTTCAAACACTCCTTTCCTCTCCAGGGTTTACTATCCCTGACCACAACCTACATATTACTCACTCTAATACCTCTGCTCAGTTGTTCCTTCAAACTGGAACACTTTCAGCATTCTGAAGTCCTCCTTTAATATAGGTAGGCTCAGATCTCTCTTTCTCCAAAAAGTTATCACAGACTCTTCCCTGTTAAAAATCTTTCATACTTAAAAAAAAATGTTTTTGCAATTCTGCTGTGGCATATGCCACAGAATGCCTTTTATAAGAAGAGCTAAATGCTACCATTTTTTTTTTGGTGAATTCTTAGAAGGCAGAATTTTACCTCCATAATTCCCACGTAGGAATCTGTAGCTATAAAGAGCTCATGAAATAGCTGTGAACCACTGAGTGCAGGAAGGAGCTTGCGAATCCTCTTTAACTTTTCTTTTCTATTAAGCATTGGCCCTATTTTCTTTTTCTTGCTCTAGGGAACTATTTAACTTACACTTCAGGTTTCACAATCATCTACACACAGCAACCCTTCTTTTTGGAGCCGAAGGTTTTGTGCTGTTCTTGATTTCCCCAATTGGTAACTCTAGGAAGATGAGAAATTCAGTTCTATAATCTGTTTCTGCACCAGCAAGTGTGACACACACTCAGGGTTCATGTCTTCCTCTCTGGGAGTGAAAGCCTTCAATCTCGAGCAAAGAAAAGGCTGTCCAATATTTATATATTTTCAATCTATTGGATTATGTTCACTTTCTTTTGACTGAGAGATACTTCAGAAGCCTACATTTTAGATCAGTATGATCATAAGAGGAGGAAAACACACCATTAATGAATCTGATGGAAATACAAAAAAAAAAAAATCCTTAGAGTTAATAGATCACATCAGAGCCAAGGAAAATACAGAAATATAAAAACGACATGCATCTTAATACAGCAACTTCTTGGTTCCTTTTCTTAATTCTCCTCACTCGGTTGGAATGTAACCTCAAAGTGTGAATTAAAAAAAAAAAACTTTCATAATATATACTACCTTAATAAAAAAAATAGATCTATTTTATTTGATTTTCCTAATTGTCCTGCCAGGTGAGCATTATATCTCCCATTTTAAAGATGATAAAGCAGAGACACAGAGACGTTAAATGCTCAAGATCACATGGTTCTTGAAGACTTGTGTGCAGTCTGGCTGGGCACAAATCATGAGCCACTCGAGCAGGAACAAACTTTATTTCTGAACTCTACCAGCACACTCTACACATGCTCCCCGGGAACTCTTCTGAACGCCATGTGGCTCCTCCAGGAACCACCAACCAGAAATTTCCTCCTCTGGCACCTCCCCAACCAAAGTGAACTCTTCAGGAATCCCCGCGAGAGCTCAACTGGAACTCAACGGGAACTCCGCGAGAACTCAAAAGTCATCATCTTAATGGCTCCCTGGCATCACCTCTCAACCACTACTTCTGGCAAAAATGCCATGCGTCATCTCGACTCGGCTGTGGCCCTCAACAGACTTGGACATTACAGTGATTAGGAACATCACTTCCATGACTCAACATGTATTCCCTTGAACTGATTTAATCACTGGATAGCTGTGTTACCGCAAGAAAATCACTTAAATACTCAGAGCTTCTGTTCAGTCATTTCTAAAATGTGAGTAATAATATTGCCTGCTTCATATGATTGCTGTGTAGGTTACACGAACCTCTGGATGTGGAGCAATTAGTTCAGAATGTGGACATGTTAAGGCCTCATCAGTTACACATAACATCAGCACTACTGACAAGGACAGCAGCACCCAGAGGAGTCCAAATAGTATGCTATTTTCACTAACCATGTACCCTTTGCATGGCAATATGCTTTGTGTAGAAGCTGCCATCTACTCTTAAGCTTTCCCATGGGTATTTAATCAGAGAACTATGACTCGAGTTTGGTACATTCATGTCCTCTCTAGAAGGGCATTCACACAGTTCAGCCTAGGCATGAGGGAACACTGTGCTGGCTTTCTACTCTATCACCAGCATGACAATTGAACATTAAATATGAATGGGACAGTGCATTGGCCATAAAGAGCAGGAAACCAAGTGGAATATCAGCATGTTGGTCAGTCTCAGGGATTTTTAGAACCAGGCAACTGGTCTACTATAAAGAGGCAAAGTGAATACTGAAACCCTTGGCAGATCTCCCAGAACATTCTGCAGGTTCCATTCCACTTAATCATTTTAACATGTGCAGGCTATCTAAAAAAAACTTCTGTGACCTTCTGTTATTTTAATGGAAAGAACAATACATTTCATCTTGACAGTACAGTTGACATACAAAAACTCAGAATAGCTAGTGGCCATAATTTTAATGTTTTTAATGAAGACAGGCTTACATCACTTTTTTAAAAAAAAATTTTACATAATTTCTCCCACCTGATTTGTACTTAATGCTGTTAAGTTGCACAGAGTGGGAACAGAATAACTTTGCTGTATTTTTTATTAAAAAGGGCCTTCAGTGAGGGTTGGCACAATTAATAGGCACCTCCAGCCCAAAGAACACTGTGAATTTAGCAGAGCAGAAAACTGGTCACACTTTCCAATTTTCCTTTTTTTTAGTGACTCTTGAGTGAATGAATCAGTATCTTTGTAATGTGAAGAATTTGACCTGTTCACCTCTTGCTGGATTTTTTTTAATCACTGTGTCAGTATAAAGAAAGTCATAAGCTCTCTATGATTGTGACTTACCCATGACTAAGTCTCGTGCTTCAGTCTTACCAATAACCTACCTAAGAAACCCAGATACTCAAAATGCAAAAAAAAAAAAAAAAAAAAAATGTCAAAGAGACAACATAATTCCAAACAGAAGAGAATGTAGATAAGATAAGGTTAGATAAGATTAAGGTTCTGTGTAGAAAAGATTAAGGTTCTTCCAGAAACGTATTTTTCCCTCTAATCTGGATAGAGAAAAGAACTTGAATGTAGGCCAGGACAAGCAGGCTGACTGACAATGGAAGGACAGGAGAAAAGATGTCACAAGGAAGTCAAAGACTCTCTGGTATCAGGGAATTAGAGAGTGGGAAAGTTAGGAGATGAGGGAAAAACCACTGCTATTGCAGAGACTGAATGAGATTACGTATGCCCAGTAGGTCAAGAGGGAGACAAGTGGTCTCCAGCTTGGTGGCCTGAGTTTAAATCCTTACCCTGCCTCTGCCTGGGGTGTGATCCTGGGGAAGTTACTTAGGTTATCTGCATCTCAGTTTCCTCATCAGTCAGTTGTACAGATGAAATGAGATCACAGAAGGAAAGTACTTGGAGCTGCTGGCTGCATGTCTGTAATCTCAGTGACTCAGGAGGTTGAGACAAAAGAATTGCAAGTTCAAGGCCAGCCTCAGCAACCTAGAGGCTCTAAGGAACTTATTGAGACCTGTCTCAAAATAAAAACTAAAAAGGGCTGAGGATGTAGGTCAGTGATAGAGTGCCCATGGGTTCAATATTGGTACTGCAAAACAAACAAAAATAAACAACAAAAACCAACCAACTCTGAGTTAGGGGCTTCCATATCAAGGGCCATGTTGCAAACAAAAATTCACTGTTGAGAGAAAGAACTACACCCATCTTACCTACTAATATACATCAGCCATTCTGAATTTTGCATTAATGTTACTAACTACAAAGTTCAATACTGAGATTCTATTCTCTAGAGTAGAATATTTTGTGGCCAACTTTTGGTCCCAAGATAAATTTAGCTATGTAGGGCCTTATGTGATAAATCGTTATGTATAAGACGACCCATTAATTAAGTTAAATTACTAAATGTTTTCCCTATCATTAGTTTAAGTGGGCCATTTTGTCAAATTCCTGGTCAGTTAAGATGATTTAGAACGTAAGTATAAAACAGAAGATTGATAATCTTTAATTCAGCATATAAGAAATTACCAAGCACTGATCTTAGAAATTTAACATTATATTTAGGTTTATTTTCCTTAATTATCTAAAATGGTGAGTCCAGCAATAGTTGCCATTTTACCGCAGCCCTTCCAATTGCAATTTCAGATAAACATCAAACCTACTAAAATACTTCTTTTTTTCTTTTCCCCATTTTTCTGATTCCCTATGTAGCATATCTTGGTTTAAGAATCTATACATATATTTATATACGTATTTACAGTTCACGATAATGGATATTGCATCTGGAATACTAATTATTGAAAACAAAGTTAAACACCAGTACCAACCAAAAATGTCCTTGTGTGTGGTTTTTTTTTTTTTTTTTTTTTTTTGCATTGCATTTGCAAAAGAGTTAGGAAAGAGCCCTGGTTGACAGAGTTAAGTTCCTTGGCCAAGAAAAGATGTGCTTTGTTTGGTTTTGTTTTTCAATTGACCACAGTTAATCAAGTGACTAATATTAATGACAAATTAGCTTTCATTTGTTTAGTATGAAAAATTGAAGATCACATACAAACCAAATTCATGTCATATTTTCTTCAGTATTTAATATTTTCTAAGTAGCCATAGCATTTTTTAGATAGAAAGCATTTGGATAGAACTAGGATTTTGAAATGCCAGAGGGGACCAAAGGATGAGGAGAGTATAAATTAGAATCTGGTATGCTATGTACTACTTACCTTCAAAAGTCAAATAAAACTTTCCTCTGTCAAACCAAACGAGGGAAGGCTGTTCATTCTCTGTATGGCCAGGAGTTGAAGCGGGATGGGAAAGGTTAAGGAGAGGGAGAGAGAAGGACACAATGTGAGTTACAGAGCAGGTCATTAATCTCACTACAGGGAAGGGCAGAGGCACTGCATGCCATTAGCGTGCAGGAAAAAGGGAAGACTGGCAATCTATGTTTTGTCTTTTTTTTTTTTTTAGTTGAGGGATCAGAAAGCAGAAGCAAAGCTATGGCAGCCTAAGGGGATGGGAACGGTTGTTGGTAGCTTGATACTTGGTGCTCGTGTGCAGGGAGCAGAAATCTTCCTGGCCATGCAGGGGCATCAGCATATTTTAACTGCACTAATTTTGGGCAAATTGTCATTCAGCAATTGCTGTATCCATTTCATCTTCAATGTCACCCCCTTCCATGTTTCCAGAAAGATAAACCGGTATTATGGGTCGTATAAAACATCAGCTTAGCTTTTAAATGACAACAGCATTGCATATCAATTTAAAGTTCATGGAAGATGTCTCAGGTCTTCCATCCCCTCTGCTGGAATCACCTTAGGCATCCAGACACAAACCACCCTTTACCACTGTACCAAAGAGAAAAACGAGATTACTGATGCTGCTCTATTATGTTTTAAATTAAAAAGCAGTTACTGGACACGTAATTCTGAATGGTGAGCAGTTAAATTATTCCTTCCTTTGAAAAGTCACAAAGCAATGGCATCTCACCTTTCTCAAACCTTTTCTCTGAGAAACTGTCATGCAACCTGCTGCTTTTCTTAATATGTCCACTTACAAACGTTTCCATGGCATGAGTTCCACAATGAACAGTAAATGTACAGGGTGCATCTGAGAGGCACTGGACACTCATGAGGTGAGGAGCATGTCCATGAAGTTTCTAGCATTCAGATGGATAATGGCTTGGATTTTAAAAGTCTACATATCTAGAGATCACTCAGCTAGCACCATACCTGCAGGCGTGTCACAGCGCCTTTCAAACGAGGGGAGTTTGTCATAAAAAACATCATCTTCTGACACTACGAACCAAAAAAACATAAACAAATGGAAAACAAAAACACAAATACAAATCCCAAATGAAATCAAACAGCACACTCTACTGACTGAAACTCAGGAATGATTTTCATGAAAAAAAGGAAATATAACTTAAAACACTGGGATTGTGGTTAAGATATAGAAAGTGATATGCTTATTTGATAATGATTCTATGAGAAGAAATTAAAATTTAAAAAATGTCAGGTTTTGGCATCTGTGAATTGGTCAGCTCCAGGGAAGAAGTCACACCTGCCCTTCTCAGGGAGTTGCTAAAGGCATCATAAATAATTGACTTATGCAAGTGTATTTCACTTCAACACAATTCTCAAGTGGCCAGACATATGCTTATCAACCAGAGCCTCCTGACAGGACCCTGACAGCTCAACAGGCCTGCCCAGCATGCACATTCCCCCCAGGAAAAGAGAAGCTAGCTTTTAACATGACCATAAAAAGCAACCGTATAAATCCCAGGTCTCTGAATGAACTATCCCATTTCAGCCTCATCAATATCCAAATTCAATTTGCCTTGCACCTGCCTTTGATAGTTATGGACCATTAATTTTCAACAGAATTATCATAATTTCATCTTTGGCTATGATATCCAGCTGTGGATAAATGTCTTTGTTCATTGACCACAACATTATGCTCTGAACATCAACTGTTTTAGATCTTTACATGGGATCTCTCTCTCACCAACTAACAAAAACAGGTAATTGGGGTTTTTGTTTTAAGTGATTAAGTTAACAAAATTGCCACAGGTCTTACAGGTAGTATTACAACTTTAGTACAAAACTGAATAAAAATCATAATAAGACCAGGAATGAACAACCCTATCTACAATGCAAAGTTATAGACATGAATGAGGGTAGAAAAAAATACTCCATCAACAATAATGTTTGGGAAAAATATTCTATTAGCTTGCTGCCTGACTTAGGGAATAAGGTAGGGAAGCTTTTTTTTTTGGTCAATTCTTAAGGTTTTAGGATATCACCTTTCAATTAGTTTTTATTATGCATAAAATTTCTTTGGTAGCTACAACAAGTTGATGCAACTCCTATAATAATATCCATGGGTGCACAGGAGACAGGTCATTCCAAAAAAATAGCATACTTTTTCTTTTTTCTTTGTTTTAAGAATTGCTAACCACTTTGGAGGAAATGTTTTATGTTTTAGATGCTATGGTTCTGATACTGAATACAAATCAATTTTGCTCAAAGTTCTGGACTGAAGGAAGCATCCAATCCATCTGATACTCCCTTTGGTATCCAGACATGATTACTTTTCATTCATTTCAGTTTTACTTGCATGTTAAAGATACAATTTAAAATGTATAACTACCAGTGAAGGAATATAACTTCAAATTAACAGGGAAGAAAAATTATCTTTCCCATGGTCTTTTTGCAGTGGGGTCCTAAAGAAGATATTTGCAAATATCTTTTAAAAAAACTACTAACACCCTCAAAAATAAGACACATGTAATAAAAATTAGATATTTATTATTAGAGATAACTCTCTTCATTCTCTTTCTGAGTTAGTTTTTTATAATAGAATAATTTTATACATATTCCCTGTCCCCATAATATTAACAGAATTTTCCCCAAAATCATACAATGCAGGTCCTATGAGCCTTTTGTAGTTCAAAGATTTTACTGTATTCCATTGTTAAGTTATCGGAAATTGGAATGGGTCTTATAATTAATATAAGAAAGCATTGCATCTTAGTTCAATTGATAGCTTTTTCTCTTTTTAGTCATATATAAAACAATGGTGTATTTTTTAATCAGGGGTGTCTTAAATGTGATGACATATAGTTGAGTAGGAGCTCTTTATCATTCAAATTTCTGTGACAGTACACAGAAAGTTTCATTTTGCTCATGTAGCATTAGATATTTTTTGGTCGATTCTTAAGGCCCCAGATATCATCTATCAATCAGGTTTTATTATGCATAGAGTTTCTTTGGTGGCTACTTGATATTCATAGCTCTTATGAAAAATTCCATATCGAAAGCTCTTTAGGGACATTTTCTTGCATGAATTTTATTGTAGAAAGTTTAGACCTGCTCTTAAAAATTTAGTTCTTGGATAACTTTAAACTTGGGCTCATTGGTTTCCATATACTTGCCCAGATTATGGTTCAAGTGCCATAGGAAATGTCAAAAAGGTATTGCAGTGATAGGAGGAAATGTTGAGCCATCAACTTCAGGGAATTTGCTGCTGAAATTTTCAAGTTCCCCTAAGCCATTTGACTACATTACATCAACATTCCAAGTCAGCCATGATGAGACCCGTAGTGCTGACCAGCCAAAGCACATCCTCCCCAGAAAGAGAAATATCAACACACAAGAAGCTGCCGGTCAGTTACTTAATAATGTATTTACTTCAGAGAGAAGAGGCTGTCAGGCGACCCACAGGAGGAGGAAATAAGGAACAGGAGGATGAGGAATTCAGTGGGTAGATGAAGCCAAATAAAAAACAAGAGAACCAAACAGATTAAATCAGTATGATCCTCAGTCGTGAATCAGTAAGACCAGCCTGTTCCGTGGCCATTGTTTTTAACCCCTCCATGGTTTAATCTTGAAAGAACACATACTAGATACATTAAAAATCAAAGTCACTGGGTCAGGATTTGAGATTTCAGCAGCAGGGAGTATAGAAATACATTGTCTAGAACATGGACACAGTTCAAATTCCCTGTGTGTTCAGTTTTCTCTATGAATCAAAGTGAGTTGAAAGAACACACTATCTAGTTCATCTGAGGTCACCTGGGGGATGCTGTAGGAGTGACAGTTCACTCTTACTTTCTTCTCTGACCAACAAGGCAAATCACATGGAATGGGTGGAATGAATGATCTTGACAAAACAAAACAGTAGAATGGGAGTGGTGGTGTGTGTGTGGGGGGTGGGGGAAGGCTGTAGCAATCAAGGAGATTAAAGAAAGAGTGAAAAAAATAAGGTTAGGATGTTACAAACAAACAAACAAAACCAGAAAGAATGAGCTAACAGGCATTGAAAAACAGAAGCCCTGAATTGCCCCAATTGATGCAGATGAGGAAGAGATGTGGATATATAAAAACGTTAATATCTCACAGAGAACTGCCTATATTTTCACCACAATTGAAGGATTCTTTGGGGATTATCTGATGCAACATATAGAGTCTGAAGTGGAGTTGAAGTTACTTTTGGGGCCCTTAAGAAGCCCATCTTAACCTATTTCTCTGAGAAAACAGGCAGTTGTCAAGAATTAAGTCTCAGACTTTGATTCACCTACTTCTCACATGGAGAAGTCTGCAGGGTGCTCTTCCTTGGGTAGCAGAAGGAATTCACTTAGCTTTGGTTGATGATCCTCCTAAGCGATGCAGGGTGGGGGTCAGCTGGTTTATATCAGCTGGGTGAATTGGAGGGGAGTTCAGAGAACGAAGGAAGACAATGAGGAGGAAGTTGTATGGGAGAAATGGAATGGGAAAGCCCCAGGTCAGAGCCACCATGCAAGAGGGGAGAGGCAGCAGGAGCTGATGGGAGGTGGGAAGAGACAGAGTCCAGCCTTGGGCAGAGGGAAGATGCTCCTGGCAAAAGGAGGCAGTGAAACCTGAGAAAACCATCCAGCTGAGCAGCCATCCTCAACTCTTCACTCTCATCACAGCATAAGAAAAGAGGCACAAGGCATTTACAGAAAATGACAGCAATGACTAATTTTTCTGGGGAAATTGACTGCATATCATTGAGAAGCACTAGGAAAAAAAAAAGTCAAAAAAATTTTTTTTCTCATGTCTCACCATGCCAATGTTTATACCATTCTTCAACCTTAGGACAACCAAAAATGATGAAAAATGAAACCTTCAAGATAATAAAAGTTCTAATTTTTGCAATTTCTAGTGTGGTTACACAGTTAGAATTTAAACATTTCCCCTCAAAGGAGACTGCTTTTTTTTTTTTTTTTAAATAAGAAATATCTAAATTACAGGACCTTCCTTGGCAATTTCTTCTCTGCTTTGTGAATAGCTCTGTATGGAATAGCATAAGACCATCCCTGCAAAATACAGGTTTTCACATTCTGCTTATTGGTTCATTGGCGTAGGTCAAGTCTTTTGCCTCCTTTGCTGAGAAGGTTGCTTGGAAAAGAAGAGTCAGGTGACAGTAGCAAAACACACAGCAAAACAATTTCAACCAGAAACACAGGGCCCAGGGAGTTCAGATCAGAAAACTTAGCCAGTCAAAACCACAAACAGATGAAAAGAGAGGAGATAATTTTTACCAACTGTGGGAGTGGTGGCTGCACTCAGGGAATTGGTTGATGATATTGAAGAAGTGCTTTCAGCCCGGGCTAAGGGTGCTATCGGAGGAGGGCTGGAAGAGTGTATGGGTGGGCTAAAGGGTCTGGGCTGTAGGGAGAAGAAAAGAGATAACAGGTTAGATACAGGTTGTAGCACTTTGATTCCATATTGTTAATGTCTCCCAGTCTCGGATAGGACAACTTGGGTCCCTAAAAGCAAATGGACAGCCTGTTTTCACAGTAAAATGGGCTTTATCTACACAACAGCTTGGGGAATGGAGCTGGAGGAACCATAAACCCCAGCATGGCTGAACTCAGTGGGTATGCTGGGGTTAGAGAGGCAGGGATGTGTGATGGGATCTGTGATGTGTCCTTTCACGCCCTCAGGGACTGAGCAGGGAGCATTGTAAAAGCTCATTGGAATCTAAAGATGTTTAAATACAAAATCCTGGACTGTGCTAGCAAGCCAAGGACTGTGTACAGATGCCAACAAAATTGACCTCTGCCACAGTCTTGTCAGTTGTTTGCACAGATTGCTTTCCACACCTCAGCCTTAAATCACAATGCTAGAGACTTCCGCAACAAATCCATGGGCTGATGCTTTCTTCTTTACATTCACATAATGAACCTACCATCAATAATGTATCTGTATTCTAGGGTCAGAAACCAGCACTTGCTCTCTCTTGGAGTTTTCCAATAATCAGAAAAATATTGTGAAGCAAGAATTGATCCTGACTATCTGCATTGACATCCATCCCTGTAGCAGAGGTGAGGGCCCGAGCATCCTACTATCATTTCAGATGTTGGCTTGAAAGATGGTAGACCCTTGAGGAGGGTTGAAAGATACACCCATGGGCAGTGACTATCTTTCAGTGACCACCTGAAAAGGTCATTTGGGCAAGAGTTCTTGTGCTTAGACCTGAAGTTGAGGCTATTGGTGATCTCTCCATCTGATGATGAGCAACCTAGGGCAGAGGGGAACATACCACATCTCCGACTCCAGGTTTTCCTGGAGGTAGCTTTGGCCTGGAGGGAGGCCGGGGAGGAGGAGGAGGTGGAGTGGTACTGCTGCAGGGAACCAAGGGAGTGGCTGGTCGAGCAGGAGATGATGCACCTGGAAAACACGCCAGTGTTAGAAATGGCTGGAAGCAGAGGTGACCAGAATGCTGTCATCACAATACAATGCCTGGACGTTTGGTTTGGCAGTTCTACGCTAAGCACTGTAGCACACATTTTTTTCCTTTTTCTTTTTTTTAATAAAGAAAAAATGTATTCAGTTGAACTATGGTTGATGGCAGAAGCTGAAGCTCATTACCTTTTCTTGTCATGTGACACCCAGTGAAGGTAAATCCGTTCATTACTCTATCTGTGACAGAAGATGAATTCTTATGACTCTTGCCTGGTGGTACTTTTCATTTTAATCACATACACACTAAACTTGGGGTAAATTCTCTGATTTTTTTTGAATGACAAAAAATAAAGGTTAGAACTTAAAGGAAGAGGAAGATGAATGATTTTCTACATTATATTTTTCTTTTTTAAGCAGGGGTAAGAGGATTATGCTTTTGACTGTGAATCAACATATGGCCACTAACTTTATTAATGTCCCCAAACACTTGAAGTAAGCAAAGGACAAAATATAATAAAGAAAATTAGATGATGCATGAGTTCTTTGTGTTTTGAATCACAGTAATAGAAACACCAAATTCAGAGAATTTTGTGAACTCTGTTCAGTAATGTCAACGTAGAGTGTGTGTCCCTGATGATTTTCATAGTCGTTTTTTAAAGAGCCTCCTGGATTTACTTTTCTGGCTGTCCATGACAAGCATATGAAACACAGATGACACACAGAGGCTGGCATGCACACCAATCAGCACACCAGAGGGGTTCTCTGCACTCATGGGCCCATCTTTAGTCATATGCCTGGGAGCATGGGAAAACTATTTGGCCAAAAACCTCAGGAAAGTCAATCAGTATTTCAACAGTTCTTGTTCAGAAGTTTTGCCACTTCCGATTAGAACATAGAGAACTATCTCAAGAAAATTCTAAGAAATCCCGCCCCAGTAAAGTATCCATGCTTCTTTCCCACTACCCACCCCAACCTACTACCTCCCTCGAAACACACCACAAATCTGTGATCTCTGGAGTTCTAAACCAGCATCTCAATCTCTAGATCTTCACATCCACGAAGTCCTTTGAAGTTGAGTAGCAAAACCCATCGTTTCAGAATCTGTTCTCATTTGAGGATAGCCTTGGGAGTGAACCTTGCTTCTTGTTTAAACAATCTGAAATATTGAGTATGTTTCTCTGTACTATTTATTCTGAATTTATTCTGCAGTATTTATTCTACATTAGTGTGAAATCCTATTAGTTATTGTTGCCACCTCTTCTCTATGCCATCTGTCCCCACCACTACCACCTACTGTATGCTTACTTCTACTGAACTCTCCCTTTATATTTTATTGGGCCAGGATCTATGCTAGGTGCTTTACATTTATTACCTGATCCCTATGGTAAGCTTTGGAGGTAGGTACTGGTAGCATCTCAATAAAAACAGAGGCTCAGAAATATTTAGTAACATGTTCAAGATCATGGCACTTAAAGGGTATATTTAATTCCAAAGCCCAAGCTCTTATAATGTTGGAAAGACTGTGGAGTCCCACATTTTGCATAAAATCTGTGCTTATTTGTACATGGTCAATTTGTATATATCTCTCTCAATGTAAATGTTCTCAGTCTCTGATTAATGTTCTCTTTTTAAAAAAATGGAGTATGTTTGGACAAGTCCCAGTCCAAAGTTTTGATTTGAATATTGTGTTAGTAGATTTGCACCCACGAGGACTTCAGAAGATAGAAATGACAGCAGAGAGATGGGAAATAAACCTTGAAACAGTGGAGTCTGTGTCAGGAAGTCTTAGGGAACTCTTTTTTTTTAATGATGGAGAAAGGGGTTTCTATTCAGCTTTGGGAAAACCTTCTATAGAAATGGTCCAAATGTTTCTCTGTGGGTCTATTTCTAAGAAATAGTCTTCTGAATCAATCCTAAGAAAAGGCTGGCTTTTTATTCTTTCCTTCCATGTTCCAGAAGAGAAATTTAAAAATCCTCTCTCAGTAATGCTCAGGAAAATACTGAGGGGCTGTGGAATACTGGGTGGAGAGTCCAAAGGTCTGAGTTCCTGCCTGGCCATCTCTCCTTATCTGTGGGATCTTTTCTTCTCTGGGCCTCAGCTTCCCCCATTTAAAAAAATAGACATTGTTCTACTTACAAGGTAGTTATAACAGGGAAACTAAAAATGCTTATGAAACTGTTTGCTGAACTATAAAATATTACACAACAGAAGGCAATAGGTCTTGATGATGATGGTAAAGAGTATCTTTTGATAAAGACAAACTAAAAAGTAAAGAAAAAAGTGTTAATTGCTAATTAAAAATTTATTGTTTTCCTTTTCCTTTATGGATACTCCCATTTAAATCACTTTTTCTTTACTGAATCGATATAATTGATTTATTGTGCATTTAGAAGGAAAATAAGAGAATATGTTAAAAGCATTTAAAGGATATTTGGATTAACACCTTGCCTGAGGGACCCTGAGGCTCAGCAGACAACACACAGGGCCTGGGGTGATTCCACAGGTGACCCAAGGCTTTACAAGCCTTTGTGAGGTTGTTGGTGTTTTAAGGGTGTAGATGGATAATATTTATACCTCCCTAACCTCTTGGATTTTCAATTGTACTTTGATTTCCTTCTTGGGTAGTGTTTATTCCCAAACACGATTCAGAAAATAAGTTGGACAACACCACTGTTTAAGATGCAGTGTTTAAGATGTTAAAGTTAAGGTTTAACTTCAACAATTACACATCCATTGAGTTTTGTGAGTTAACAAAAGTTGGAAACAATTGTTATGCTCTTGATCCATTTGCTGTTCTTGATGTGATGTTTCAACATAGTTTCTTTGGTAACCATTGAAAACCAAATATCTATAGCTTCAACTTTGACTTCTTATGTGTCCAGATGGTGCGGGGGACAGTGAAGGCAGCTGGGGGAAGTGGCAGAAATACAGGCTATGGAATCCAACAGATATGGGGCCAGATCCTGGCTCTGGTATCATTAGCTTTGTGACCCTGGCCAAGTTACCTCTGGGCTTGTTTCCTTATCTGCAAAATGAAGCTAATGTACCAATGATATTACTGGGAGAATCAAGTGAATTAAAATACATGTACTTTGAAATATGGAAGAACTAAATGACCTTTTCCAAATTCTGTTTCTTAGGACACAATTACACAATTTCTTTGGAAAAAAGTATTAAGCATGTATGGGAATGGTTATATACTATATTTTCTTTTTTCTCCTCCTTTGGTAATAAACACAATTAAAAGCTCTAAAACAGAACTCTCCAATAGAGCGTTCTGTGACGATGAAAATGTTCTAGAACACTATGTTCAATAATAGCACTAGTCACAGGTAGCCACTGAGCACTTGAATCATAGCTACTGTATCTAAATAACTGGATTTTATGTTAATTTAAATTTGTTATGATTATGGGTAAAATAACTACATGTGGCTAGTGATTTCTTAGACATCATTGCTCTAAAAAGACTTGCAGTTAAGAAATGTATATTTTGGTTAATTCAACCTCTGCATCTCAAACTGTGTGTGTGTGTGTATGTGAAATTGTAAATAACTTTTTAAATTCTGCCCCCGCCCAGTACTAAAATTTCAATTCCCCCTGGATTGAAATTGAACCCAGAGGTTCTCTACCACTGAGCCATTCCCCAGCCCTTTTTGTTTTTTAATTTTGAGACAGGGTCTAAAAGTTGCTGAGGCTTAAGTTGCTGAGGCTGGCCTCAAATTTGGGATCCTACTGCCTCAGCCTCCTGAGTTGCTGGGATTGCAGGCATGTGCCACCACACCTGTTATGAATAACATCTTTTAATATTTCATGAGTTGGAAAATGTTTCTCTGAACATCTTCACTTGACGAACTCCTTTCTTTCCTATCCAAACCTGTTGAAGGCCAATAAAATTTATTTTCCCTTCTGTCCCCTGGCACACAATCAACATGGGAGAAGAGATAGCCTTTGCCAAGAATCAGCATCTATATTCCAATAAAGCACTATTCTGGCCAAACTAGGTATTTATAACTTTTTGCCATAAGGAAATTAAAGTTATTGGAGCAAATTCTTACTTCCCACTGTGTTTCAACAGCAGGTAGCACTTCTGCTTCTCACAGCTTGGTTAGGACACCCTAGGATGTGAGAATAATGGTACCCACTTAAAATCAGTTAAAGAAGCGCAAGAAAGTTAGTCCCATCAGGATGTGTTATAAAAGGCAGGTAATGAGAAGCATCATTTTTCTTTAAAGCATGAAGCTATACATTCTATTATTGTAATCCTAAAATTCTATTTTTGACAGTTTGTGTATATTCATCAATAAAAGATTAACCAGCAAATAAACTGGGACTTAATTAAGGGAATGATGGTGCAACGTTTTATTTATTTATGGGCTTCATAGGACCAGATCAATTTCCTACTTGAAAATTCAATCCTTTTAATGCCAGCAAAGTATAGCTTTTTCCAGACCCATTATTAAGAATTTGTAGTCTTTACTGGTAACCATATAAAATAATTTCAAATAAGGCTATGGAAGTTAAACATTAAAATAATGAAACTCTCAGAGATTTCAGAAAGAAAACTAAAGCTTCTCTCTTCCTTAATAATTAAGTGTTTAATTAAACAAATATCTCCCAGAGCATTGTGAAAGGTGATGAAAACACAAGTCAAGGACGAAGTCTCCTCGTCTTCCATACCTCCCACTAAAGGGGTTTGCTTTGGGGAGAGCATCCTGGGCCTCCACTGGAGAGAGCTGGGTATTCCTTGAAATGTCTTTTCAGGGCACTGAGAGCCTAACCCAGGAGAGAGAGCCTGGCACAATAAAGGCATACCCCCCCACTTTTTTTTTTTTTAAGAGAGACAATTTCTTCAAGTTTGCTGTCTGAAGGCTTAACACAGCAACTTTTTAGTACCTTTATAGATAAATACAGAGACTGTAATCCATGAACAAAACTAAAAAAGCAACAGAGGTATGGAGGTGGGTGCTCTCACCCTCTGGAATTAGAGAGAGGTGAACAAAACAGTATGTTCTGAAAGCAGATTTTGGTGATTTTGTGGATGACACTGTGCAATATAGGTGGTTGTCAGTGGTTAATTAAGTCTGGGATATTTTGTGACCAAACTTCACAGAAGTGCCTGGAGAGTACATGGGTAAGAACACAGGCTCAGGATCAGATAGATCTGTGAATCTGAAGTTTGTCATCTCCTGTGGCATAAACTTGGGTAAATGACTTGACCTCTCTGAGCTCAGTTTTCCCATCTATAAAATGGGGGAAATAATAGTGCCTTCCATATGGGGTTGTTGTAAGGATGAAATAATGTGCATAAAGCACTTAACATAGTGCTAAGCAGGAAATGCTTATTATTAACAAAATAAAGGTTTCCAAGGTTCTGTGGTAAAGAAACTTGCTCATTTTATTTAATGGCATGTTTGCCAAATGTATTTGCTTATAGAATATGGTTTTCTAGCCGGGCACAGTGGTGCATGCCTGTAATCCGAGCAGCTTGGGAGGCTGAAGTAGAAGGATTGTGAGTTCAAAACAACTAAGTGATACCCTCTCAATACCTGGTATAAACATATATATATTTAAATATATAGAGTTTTCCTTCTTGGGGAGAGGAAGGCCTGGGGCATATTTAATAATATGGTATTGTTTGTGGCACAGGTGAACCCCCACCCTTTCTTGATCCCCTCTAATGCTCTTGCTTTAAAAAACACAGAGGCAAATGTGGAACAAACACTGGAGGGGACTCCAGGGAAAGAGGGAGCAGTGGTAAGTGACAATCAGAACAGAAACAAGCCCTTTTCTTTCTCACCAGATCTAAATATCTCATGCTTGGTCACCTCTCTTTCTTTTTAAAAAATATTTTTAGTTATAAATATACACAATAATCTTTTAAAATTTATTTACTTTTAATATGATGCTCAGTATCAAGCCAGTGCCCCACATGTGCTAGGCAAATGTTTTACTACTGAGCGACAGCCCCAAACCTTGGTTACCTCTTTCAAAGCAAAGAAAAACAGCACATGGCACCCCCAGAGAAGGTGCCGAAACTGAACCCCTGAAAGGGAGGAAAGGCTCGGAGGATCTTGCCAGGTAAATCTGAGTAACAGTGGAATAAACTATAAACTATATGAAAACGATGCACTTGGAAGATCTTGGTGTTTCTTTGGTATGCCTGGCAAGAGCTTCTGTCCTTTCATGGTTAGAAGACAGAAAATGAAGTTCAAAATAACAACAAATAAACAAACAAAAAATCAAATTCGATGTAAGAATCTGCATTGAGAGTCCCCAAAGGTACATTTCTGGTAGACTTTTTCATCAAATGTCACCACCCTTGGCGTTGATGTCATAGCCTGATGGGTGTGTCAAGTGGTGAGATCTGAGAACAAATTTGTCTGCAGTGGCTGCTCCATTAGGGTGGGGATGTGCTAAGGCATTTATTTATTTAATATAGTTCTTTAAAATCTCCTTTTAAAATCTTACATTAAAAAAAAAACAAAACAAAGTTCTTTCCCCACATAAAAAAAAAAAGAAAAAGAATGAAAACAAAAAGAAAAAAACAGGACCCTCCTTCCCCCCATGTTGACCTACAAAACCTAGGACTCTCAGGAGGCATCAGACAAGAGAATCAGACATGTGACCTGTAAACCACTCTCTGAAATATGCCTTTCTAGAACTTTCCTGAATTCCTAACAATGATATTCCAGCTTTCTTTAAAAACCTCTACGCTTCCTAAATGGCAGAGTGGAGGAGGACGCTCCTATGGGCTGGGTGGGCAGAACACATCCACAGACTTGGACCACGACTGCGAGCATTCGATGGGCTGGGGCATGCCACGGGGCCACAGGACACCCAGACCAGAGCAGGAATGGCTGGAGCTCTACGGCCAACTGCCAGGCGGGGGGAGGGTGTTGCTCACACTCAAGCAGCCACGGCCATTCCCTGGCACACGGAGCACAAGCAAACCAGAAGACGTACCACTGGCGGTCCCCGTACCACTGCCCGAGCCAGGTCCGGGGGACGAGACCACAGTCCTGTAGGTGGGTGGTGGTGGGGGAGGTGGAGTTGCTCTCTGTCCCAACCCAAAATCTTTAGGAGATGAGATTGTTTCTAAGTAATCATCTTTAATGAAGGTCTGCTCAGCAACTTTCTTCTGGACTTCTTCTAAATTGAGCGGAGATGGTACATTGCGAGGAGGCCCAGGAGGCCCAGGAGGCCCAGGAGGCCCAGGAGGTCCTGGGGGACCCGTGGGGACCGGGGGGCCGGGAGGGGCTGGAGCCAGGGAGTCATCTGGGTTGTCTGATGCTGCTGGTGGGGACACCACCTTTTCCCTTGGAGTCAACTCTGGAGTAACATGTTCCGGGGACGTGTCAGAGAAATGAACCCACTTTTCTTCAGTGTACACGGCAACAGACTTGGGGGACAACACTGGGCCAAAAATGCTGTCCAAGTCATTGATGGAGGGTAGTTTTTCAATTTTGGCCTCTGTGGCTGACTGTTCATTTCCTGTGGTCAAAGTAGTTGGTTTTAAACTTTAATTGACTTTCTTAATATTATTTATATGGGGGGGGGTGATAAGGGTGAGGCAAAGTCTGGTAGATATATTGCCCTGTGAAGTGCCTTTGTGGGAATATATCTGGCTGGGTTAGGAGCTGAAGGCGAAAGGAGAGATCTCCCCTCCATAATGTGAGCGTCATATTTTGATGCTCTTATTTATTCTTGCAAGGTCATAACAATTGGCCACTTTTACCATCACTTAAAGTGCTGAGCATGATACTGCTCTCAAGGCTGCTTATAAGAGAACCAAGGGAGCATTTCAAGAAACTCATGTTCAATTCATAAGAAACATAGGCTCTGAAAATACAAATTCCAAAAGGAGTTTGTTTCTGAAAATATGGGCTACTGCAATACAACACAGTAGACAAAGACTTGTGTGCCAAAAATCACACACATATTTTATGACTATTGTCTGCTGTAGTGCGTTTGGGGAAACTGATGATGATATCTGTTAGTTTAAAAAAAATGGATATCACATTTAGCTGTAGGTCTTCTAATACTCCAGAAACACAGCACAAAGATTAAAGAGACGTTCCCACACAAATATTTTTAAACACATGCATACACATGACACTCATGGGTTACTGAGGAAGCATTTGCTACTTATTGGCACTGTTATACATATGCCTGTTTAATAGAGAAGAAAATAATAAAAATGTAATAATTCTTTTTCGCATCAAATCTCATCTGTTAACATCACATGCTTAACTGTGGTATATATCTGCAGTTACAAAACAGAAGTCTCTTAGATGGCATCAGTAGTCTTTTTAATTCATATCAATAATAAGAGGTAAAAGTTAAAAACTTGTCTTCTACCGCTTGGCGTGAAACGGTTGATAACAACTGCAATTTGAAGAACTCTATATTTTTTTAAACTTTCTAATTTATTCAAATTAGAAATTGTTACTTAACTAACTGGAGGGCATGACCAGAAGTTATTTTACCTTTAAATAACTCTTGGGCTCTAAGAATTGGCTTGTCATTTCCATATTTATAGTTTGAAAGGAATTAACTTTCATGGTTCCAAGGCTAAAGATAAATGGGGTAGTATTTTGCGTGGCACACAATATTTATAATTTGGCTGCTGGTAGGTTTATTTATGTCTAACATAATTTATTGGAAATACAGGAGACCCCAGTGGCTCAAACTTGAAAACACCTGTACTTATACGACTCTGAACGATCCTTTTTTGGGGGTTTAAGTCAATATAAATTTTATAAATGACATTTCTTGCTTTCTCTTTTGTTGATAAATACCCTCTCTGTACCTATCAAATTCACCAGGCTGCATAAATTGCAAAGGATGAAACTGCTATAGAATTCCAAAATGACAAAGAACCACATTCAGATCCATAAAATAACCATTACTACTTTTGATTTGACAGTCCAATAAGACTTGGTAGATTATAAATTTTATGAATATATACTATTGATTTTAATAGAAAGCAAAGATATGTCTTTGAGATATCTGTCTAAAAAGATGCAGAAGTTTCTTGCCACATTTCATGATCTTTATACATCTCTTTGCCATAAGATGGTAAATACTTGAATGACTACTGGGGAAAAAATTCCACACCAACAATATACCACTCATCCTGAGAACCATTTTATGTCTTTGTAGACTAGACAGTTTTAGTTCTAGCAAAAGTTTTATTGGTTCTTGGAAACATTCAAATTATGCCTTGAATTTTTAAATCACCAAAATAAGATCCAACAAGAGGAATGGTTAATTAAACAACTTTTCATATTGGTATTTTCCCCCCTTCACTTTATAAGTGAATGTGGCTCTTATTCTACCAAGAAAAAAAATTGTGAGAAGTTTCTTTTCTTTCCTCCCTTCCTTCTTTCTCTCTTTCATGTGTGAAGCCTGGAAGTGGTATTTTAAAATAAGTTTGCACAATACATTGTGATGGAAATAAAACTAAATGACAACATTGTACCATTTTAATGTAGACTACAACTTCCAAAGCATCAAGGAAATGTTGAGGTCCAGGGCTGTGCCTGTTTGCCATATAATCTTAGATGAAAGGGACCTGAAGTTTACCTGGTCCAATTGTTAATGGGGAGCCTGTTCGAGGTGGGGTGGCTGGTACATTTTTTGGAGGCAGTGGTGGAGGTGCTGTAGAGAGATGAGAAATCAAGTATTATTGATTACATTCTTCCTAAATTACACAAGACACTAGATAATCAGGTTAGAGTTTTTTCAATGATAGACTTGATGTTGGAAATATCATCAATGATCTAAATTTTGTAAAGTTCAAAGCCAACAGATTAAAGCAGGATTATTAAAGTTCTTCAATTTTATGAGAATGAGAGTTTGCCAAAAGGATGTCAGATAGTAACAATAACATCAATGCTTTATTCATTTAAATATTATTTAATAAACTTCAATCCACAACTAAGTTCTACCTGCTATGCTAGGAACAAAATGGGTTGAATAAAAATCCTCTGCCCTCAAGGAATTGTGACTGATGATGAAAATCATGTTCACAGTTAACAATCCAGGTGTGATAATGAAAGTCAGAGGCAAAGTGACTTGGGTCAGTGAAGAATGAAAAGGTTCCCTTGGTAAAAATGACAGCCAACAAAATCCTCAGATAGAAATAAGTCTAGTGTTATGGTCTCCACCAAGAGATTACTCTTCTGAACAGGGCTTTATCACTTTATGGATGAGGTTAAAAATTACTGTTTCAACAGCTACATTTTTTTTCTTCCCTTTAATGTATGTTTTCTTGTCACTGGCCATATTTGGTTCACTCAAAAGAGTTCACACTATTTTCATAAATCATCTCAAGGTTCAGATGTGAACCTGGATGTGCTCTAATCTTTCATATCCTAAAAGCAGGCTGAATCGGGTGCACATGTAAGCTGGAGGGCTCTTTCCACAATAAGCATGACTAACAGCTGTCCTCTCAAAGCTTAGGAGCACTTGGCCCTTAATCTTCGTTATGAGCTACTGAAAACAGCACTTCTTGTGGATCATATTTTCCCAGTCAATCAGAGTTTCCTTAGTAATGGTTTCTATAAAAAGTTGATAAAGATTGTCATCAACAAAACACTATAAAACAAGTAACATACCACAAAGCCTAAAAACCTGAAGTAATAAACCTGTGTTGCAACCATGCAACAAGCAGAATTATACAATATCCATCAATAAACAACAGCCTCTGTTGTGCTAGGTGCCACCACAGTGCATAAAACTCACTGCTCTGAAATAAGTGGTGTTTGAAGCAACACATTATCCATGCAAACATTTCATTTGTTTACCTTCTTGGCACTTAGGAAGAATTTTCTAGGAATGGTTTAGGCAACTTAGGTCTGTAAAGAAAGCTTTTTGGGGCTGGGGTTATGGCTCAGTGGTAGAGCGCTCACCTCCCTGGGTTCGATCCTTAGCACCACATAGAGAAATAAATAAAATGAAATTATTAAAAAAAAAAAAGAAAGAAAGCTTTTCAAGGAAGTCAGGGCTTTCTCCTCTGTCTTTGTTTCCTAGTAGCATGGAGAAACATTCCAAAGTATGCTGCTGTAGTTTATATATATACAACTTAAAATATACATACATATATTTTATATTATTATAAATTATATATGATATATATAAATATAATATGTTTATATATATTTTAAGTTGTAGTTGGACAAAATACCTTTGTTTTTGTTTATTTACTTTTGTGAGGTACTGAGGATGCAACCCAGTGCCTCACATGTGCTAGGCGGGTCCTCTATCACTGAGCCACAACCCCAGCCCTGTTTTACATTCTTCATTTACATATTTCAAAGTTCACTAATTTAAAAAGAGTTGTTGATGATGCTGTTTTCTACTCTGTTTTTGAAGAAATATTCTTGGAAAGGTTGGCTTACATGGCTTGGTAACAATAATATTCTCAACAAATAACCTTTGGCTTTTGATTATGAATCCTCTGGGCTAATTCCCATGATCATTTTTAAATACCAAAGGCAAAACCCTGGGGAAGTTGAATTGGAAGAAGTATTAGTTGGTCTGTACATGAGCCTCTAGGAGTTAAATTACCTTCTACAGCCTCAACCCACCTTTTCCTGAGATCTAATCCTCCCATGGGTATTTTAAGGAGCACCTTCCATATGCTTGCTTGCTAAAAGCAGTCTACTGAAAGGAAAGTTCAGTTAACCCATCATACAGGTGACCTGGCCAAATAAGCAATGCATTCAGTCCAAATAGTCCAGCCCATCATAGGTGAAGGGTTATAAAGATCTCTGGACCTCCTCCAGCCAACCGGCTTTGTTTGGGCTGATGGCTGCTTTGATATAAATTTGTTCTGATTTCCTGTCTCAGCTTCTCTCTAGCAATTTCTCTTGCTTTCCAACTGTCCTTCTTTGATCTCAATGTGTCCTTTTTGTCCTATGAAGCCTCACTTGTTCTGTAGGACCAGCAGAGACCATATCTCATCAGCCCAGCAGATTCTTCAGCTCATTTGCTTCTGGTTCTTACATATACATATGAAATGAATGAATGAGTGGATGAACATGTGGGACATCAGAAGAGTCTATGATTCAAGGTTAATAATTTTACTTCTCTGGCTTAGATAACTTGCCATGGCCTCTTTAAACCCTATAGCCTGTTAGAATAACATCTCCCCTCGATATCATACAGTTCAAGCCTTGCTTGTGTTGACTTTCTAGGAGTCACCTGATTTCATTCTGCAGACAGACAGTAAAATGAGTCACTTATTTTTCCAGACAGAGCAGACATATAACTTACTTCCGGTGGGAAAAGGCCTTGTTAACTTTGGCGATTCCAGGCTTGGATTAATTGGCTGGCCTGCACCCCATATCTCAGGCTGATCTAAAATAACTGGAAACATAAAAAGAGAATTTCCCAGGGTAAGTTAAAAAAAGAACCTCCCTGGATTTTAGAATTTAAAAATTTCAATTTAAAGTTGAACTTTACAAAATTATCTCCCCCTTGCCTTATACTGGGAAATTATTTTAGCAATGTGCTGCTCCCATTCTTTTTAAATGGAAAACAGAAATAGAAGTGTAGTGTGTAGGGGTGGGAGGGGGCGTCTGTGTGTATGTATATAGCTGAGTAAAAACTTTCAAAATGGATTCTGCATTTTCTTCCTAGTGGTCACTTAAGGACATTCCAAATATCAGCACACATACTGGCTCCAATTCGGGTATCCATTTGAAAATTTGGGCATTAATTCCATGGATGTTTGTTTTCTTGTAAGTTGGTTTATTTAAATCTCTTATAAATATGCTTCAAAGCTGAAAATGCCTGTGTTCTGTGCAGTGGTTTCTATCTTTAAAGGGTCTCCAGGGTCTTTAAAAAAACCTTTTTCAGCATCATAAAGAGACATAATTATTCTAAAAACGGTTGGTGAATATCTTAAGAGCACCAGAAAAATAAATGCTTAGACATCTGAAGTAAATCAGGGCAATTAGATTTTGGATCTAAGGACATTGAATTTAATATTTTTTTTCTCTTTCTTTTCTATTGTTCTGATCTTGTTATTATGGAAATGGTGAGAAGAGCTACCTCTTTTCAGCAAGTACTGAGGTGATTCATTACACTGTGGACTGCAGACTGGGAAGCCAGTGGGATTTGCATTTGAATCTAGCCTCTAGTCTTACTTTAGAACCCTGTGCAAAGCATTGAACCTCTATGAACTTCCCTCCTTCAGTGTGAAGTGGAGATAATAAGTTACTGATAAGATTGAAGCAAGTAATGGATACAAATGAAATGTTTGTAAAATGCACATTTATCAGAAGGGCAATTGCTGTTGTTATCTATTTTAATCCTTATAACACCACCAATGTGGTGATACTGGTGCCACTTTGGGAAGAGGAAACCAACGATTAGTGATGAAAATAACTTGTTCATAGAAAAAGTAGAGGAGCTAAGATCTGATCCAGGCATACCTAAGTCCAAAATATAGATAGCCTTCCAGGACTTTTAAACTAGTACTAGGAGAATTAATCCATTTCAGGATCATGTGGTTGATGCAAATGGTAGAACTTTATAGGACTTCAGGGGCTGCAGTCACTTGATGGACAGATAAATCAGATTGACTGACAAGTCCACGCATGGCTCTCCTCTCAATCACATACCTCAGAAATGATCTTAGCTCTGTTTTGTTGTGAAGCAGCATTACTTTCATGAATTCAATGTGGAATATCACTTTGATGTTTAAGAACAACTTCTATTTTTTACATAACGTTTCTATATAGTTATGGACAGATTCAGGTCAAAAAATCAAATCCCATTTCTGCACATCATACAACTATGTCATGAAAAGCAAGACTGGTTGCAGATGAGTTGATAAGACAAATAATTGCCTGACTGCAAGGCTGCCTTAATGGAGAGAATCCAAGTTATAAACATTTAATAATAACTAAAGGAGTATTTAGAGATGTTCTTTATACATTTTCCTAACTATTAAATCATTGAAAATATTCAGGTGTGGCTGATTGCTGCTAATTTCCCAGATTCATTCTCCATTTCTCTATGGTCAAAGAGTTTAGCTGTCTACATGACACCAGATTCTCTCCAGTGGGCTTTGGCTGGCAGTGATGGGTGTCTCTTCCAGATTGCTCTGACTTTTGGCAGAGTTCCATTGGCCTCTCCCCACCACTTTTCCTCTGACAGAGGCGGATGGGGAGTTGGAGCAGCTCTCTTGGACTCAGAGATGAAGGTAACTGATGTGGACAATATAGCAACCCTACCAGTTCAATATTGCTTTCTTCCAGACTGTTCACATGAAACAAATAAAATTCTGTTATTTAAAAAAAAAATCTATTTGTTGTTTCTTTGCTACTGAATCTTAGGCATTATACTCATTATACTTCTAAACATTCTTGCACTTAACACATAAGGGTATTTCACCATTGGGTCCTAGAAAGATACCATTTTGTTATATGTATACCATAATGTTTTTAAATGAAACAATTTTTATAAATACATGTATATCATCAAACACAGCTACTGGAGATACATGCATTGGACATAAATGCACTTCAGGAATAGATTATATCTCTCGTACAGAGGGATTATTTTATAACAGCAAGGTATATATTATTTTTAGGCCATCCAAAAAACATGGTTGATTCTAAAAAGTTAAATATTTAACACTAGGAATAAATGTGTAATAAGAAAGCTTAGCAACGATGGCATAAATGAAGGTATTTTTCTCATAGCATTTGATTTCTAAGTTGCCAAATGACTGTAAGTCTTTTCGGGGTCTTGAGCCAGGAAACAATGCCTATCATGGTCACTTCCACTGATGGGGTGGAAAGAGATTAAATGCAGCAGAGAGGCCAGTGACAATGACTGTGATGAGTCCCAGAAGGCCTGGCTCCATTCATGCTCCTGCTAACACCCCATAGGACAGCCATTTGGTCACAGAGTGTTGACTCCTCAATAAGGATTTGTGTAGATTTGCATTAATTTTTACCAACCTTATTCGAGGAATGAGCTTATTAGCTATTAGATATTTCTGGAAGTAAATGTCACATCCTAAAATAACAGAAATATGCAAACTAAACTCCTGTTCTTGAAAATAAACCAAGATTGGAACTTTTCTTTACTATGAAGATATGATGATACATTAAAAACATACCTCAAATATACATATCTTTTTAGATAAGTTATAATTTAATGAAAAAGGAAACAAATCTACAGAGGCAGAGTGTTTTTTCTTACCTTCCGTCTTCTGTTCATCAAACGCTGATTCTAATGGTGGGCCAAAGAGGGGAGCAAGGGCCACAGTGTCATCAGGAGGCTTTTTGCTAAATCACATACATTGAGGCAAAATACAAGAGAGGGCTCAAAAATTAATGCTCAAAAAGATATACAAGCTTTCAAATATTTTCTTGATAAAAATGGGGGGGAGAAGAAACCAATGATTAGTGATGAAAATAACTTGTTCATAGTAAAAGTTATGAAAGTTCATAGAAAGTCTTATGCATATATATGTGCAAGAATGTATATACAAAGCTATTTTATGGCTAGAAAGTATTACATCAAGATGTCAAATGTATTATGGGAAAAGAGTATTAGTCAAAGATAAAATCTCTGGTTCTCAGTGGAGGGCCAGGGTACTGGTCAAGTGGAAATAAGTTGAAGGAGAAAAGGTTTTTCAAAGCATCATGATTTTCTGTGTCTAGAAGAGATAATATTTAGAGATAATAGTTTATTGCAAAGTACCCTTTGGCCCTTATATCTAAAAAACCATTTTTATGAGTCTTTACCACATCTCTGGGTTGTAACTAAGGTAGTCTATGTATGATTGGTAAAAGTTGAGCATAGGGATGTGACGTCACAAGCCACCCAAGAAATTGGGTGTTTGAACAAGAAACTGGGTTGCTCAGCTTCTAACTTCAGTGTCCCCCTCCCAGTTAAGGACTCATTATGACCTCCTAATACTCTAGCACAGTTCATATCAGAGAAAAAAGAAGAGTGCTGACGCTATTTGTGGGACAGGAGGAACACAACATATACTCTCTCCTAATTTCTACTCTAGACTCTCACAGCTGCACAATCTTCTCCATTTCTACTCCACACCTTGTGAATCCTAATGAGTTCTCTGTGTGTGATGAGGGACAGGGATGGAGAGGAGAGGACAGAGGCTGGGGAGGAAAGTAAAAGTCCTAAAAGGATCAAGATATTAAAAAAAATAGCAGCCTTTTGGGAAAGCAATGCGCATCTGTATAATATTTTACCCAAAGAATACACTGTGAAATGCAATGTTCTGCTAAAATCAAACACCAGAGGATTCTTTTGGTTTGTGGCAGATGAGCTGCATCATGAAGCTGTGTACAGCCTGAGAGACTTTCCTTCACAGAGCAGGCCATATAAACGTATTTCAGATCAACATTTCAGAAGCTAAAAGATCTTATTATATAGACCTTTAGCCTTTTCATTAGTGAAGGGACCACATTCTGATAGGGAGTTACTTTAGATAACTGCACAGTATTTCCCTAAAAAGTCTCCCTGGGGCTGCACTTATGAGAAATGGTAACATGCTACGGATGCATGAATTTGTACATGTAGGTATGCCCTTCATTAACAGGAACCAAGAGTTTAGACCAGAAGATATTTGCCTAATTGTTAAGAGTTCGTGAGGCCTCACATAAAACACAATTCATGTCTTTCATGCTCACCTTATAAGTTCTGGAGTTGGTGTGGAACGCCGGGGCCTGGCCACTTCTTCACCTGATGCACAGGGACAAAAGACCTTTTCAGGCACGTTTTTACCCTTCCCTTCCGATGTGTCTAATGAACTATGTTTGGAAACACTTAGAGATTGAAGTCCCATCAATAAACAATTCAATAAGAAAACTCTGCAAAAGAAACCCTCTCCCCTGGCATCGCAACAGAAATATATTTGTCACATGTAGTGGCATTTTCTCTGGCATTTGTAAAACCTCATTAACCAAGGAATTACCATAAACAAGCCATGGAATAGAAGATTTGTACACTCCAGCACTCAGTGGAATAGCATACCAGTCTTTGAATGTCTGCTGCCTTGATCAGTTCTGCTTCCCAATTACCATAAAAGAATGACAAAGCAGCCATATGTACATAGTAAATGAATCCAGCATTTTCTGCCTCTTCTCTTCTTGAAATGCCAAGAAAATATTTTATCTTTTAACTATGAACCGTGAATTTATAATTCCCTAGGATGTGTTGTATGCAGCAGAGGAAAATCATGCCCTATGTATATTATAACCCATATCATATCACTTTGGTTGATTAAAATATTCATATCAAATAACATAAGAATGTGTAAGTTGAATTTACCTTTAGTTCCTTCTGGCTTCCTCTTCTCCCCACCCCGATTAGCAAATGCACACTTGATTAAACTCATTTATAAACTTAAATAATTCAGCAATAGTCGACAAATACAGGGAGAAAATAGCAAAGTTTTTCCAAAAAAAATTAAATTTTTGAATTTAAACATTAATTACTCAGAACCCAGAGAAGCACTCTATTATAACAAGAATTCTTTGCTGTAAATGTAAAAAAAAAATAAAAAAGGAAAAAACAAAAACAAAAAAGTAAGCTTTAAAAATCAAACCCAAGAGTTTATAAATCAAATGTATATATGCTCCAAGAGCCAAGGAACTATTCCTTCTTTCAAATTGTACTCTATTTCTGGTAGCTATGATATACTTACTGGATAAGTTCCTTTTAATTGCACCCTAGAATTAGAAATAGACACTATAAGGCTTACGACCACATATATGTTATGTACAATACGTATTATTTCTGTCATTGCAATTAAACTGAACTCAAAGAAATGCAGAAGGAAAAAATAAAAATTTTCTCAGAACCATACTTAAGTTGGAACTTGTGGACACACACATAAATCAGTTTTTCATTTTATTTGAAGATTGTAGTGTGGAAGGGAAGGTAAATCCTAAGTCTTTTGACTGAGAAAAACCCCTTACCTGGGTAGATTTGAGAAATTAAAGTCAAATAATGAATAGTCCATTAAAAACAAAACCCCTCCTAAACTTTAACTGATAAGAAGGTAAATCCAAGTTTAACATATGTTTGACATTTGAAAGTTCTAGACTGTATTTAGGAATATTGACTGCTCCTAGTCAGGTGGGATCTCCAAAGTGTTAGTAGAACCAGTCATCAGCTACTAATTCAATTAAAAAAATTGGCAAGTGTTAAAGGGGCGGGGGAAACTTAGGGGCTTTTACCACTGAATGAAGGGTTTTTAATTCAGGAAGCTAAGGAGTTCCACCTCTCCAATTTCTTCCACGTGCCTGCCACTAGACCCATCAATCTACTGATTGAGTTATTTCTTTAGCTCAAGACATTATGATGCTATTGGAATGCAAATAGTTTTGGCAGAAATACTGTGGAGCAGGTCATTTCTAGCTTTTATAATGTCTTGGCATAAACTTATTCTGAAAACAGAAGAATTGAGAACAATTTTTGAATTAAAAACAGAAGCTGTGAAAGATTCTTTGTGTGGGATGCAAACCATGGGACCACTGTAGGGTTACATCATGGGGTAGGACATGACTAGGCATGGCCTGACTTAAGAGAATACCAGGGACACAGTTGAGGGCAGGGAAAGCAAAGGGTTAGGACCATGGACCATCTTGGTGAGTTGCCACCAAACACGTTTTCCCCTATTTTCTATCTATGGTGAAAGCTGGACCTGGTGGTCACAGATCTGTTTTCTTCTCTCAGACTACAGCATTAACAACTTAGGACAAGATCCAGCACCTCTGTAATAGAACTATAAGAAGCTTCTTTTTTCTTTTTCCTAAGGACATATCAGAATTTTCTGTTCTCTTTTGAACCAATTTAGGATGGAGGAACAGTTTCAATCTGAACAAAGATCTATTAGGTGTTTTCTGGCAAGTGGCTCAATCCAATTATTATTTTATGACTTGTTTTGACCAAAATGCAATTTGTTTTCCCTTACTACATGTGCCAGATAGTAGATTAGTGCATAATTAGCAAAAAAAAAAAATTAAATATGCTTATTTAATTCTGCTAAGGTCATTAGGGGAATTTGGATATGAGGGTTATTTTTATTTTTATTTTTCATTTTTTTGTAATAAGGGTCTGTAGACAAACAACTAGAGAACAAATTGTTTAAATGAGGCTAAAAATGTTTTTTTCTGGGTTAGGGACCTTCTTGATAGTGAGAATTAAATAAGGTTTTAATAGTTAAATAGGTTTAGATAGTCAAATACAAGATCAATAAATTGGCATTGAGGGAACAGGGCCAATCCAGTTCTGTGAGAACTGATATCCAGTTGTTAGGAGATTCCAGGGGGCAGACTGAAGGTACTTTGGTCTCTCTGTCCTATTCATTTTATTAAAAATGTTAATATCCGAGAAACAATAAAGGTAGAAAGCTTCTTTTGTATTCATCAGTTATTACTGAAAAGCACTAGAGAAGCAGTCCCTATACCATTTTTATTAAATACTTCTCATGAATGAATGATCATAAGTTAAGGACAAGCCAGAGATGGAAGAAATATGCAAGAAAACTCTGATGGTTGGAAATTAGAAACAATAAGTTTGTTTGGAAAGGAACAGGTATTTGAAATACCAGCAGCAAATCAATAGCAATGGAAAAGAAAGTCCCACTGTGAGCTGGATCCAGCACACTTGTCACCATGACAAATCTCCAACAGGGTTGGGGTGTCCACACAAACCACACTTGGGACAGAAGCCCATTGACCTAAAACATCCTCTTAATATATGAACATATTTTCCTCCTTTCAGTGATTTATCTATATGTATATTGTGAATCCATTTTCTTTATTTTTTAATTAATGAAACCCACTCTTTCCTCATCTGATATACCACCCAACTGCTGGGTTGGAATACTCACATGTATAGAGCAGTCCCTACAGATGCCTTGTTTAACCTCAGGTGTATAGTGTGAACAGAAAACCATCAGCATCACCTGGGCAGGGTACTTGCCTCAAACTAATTAGCTGAACAGACACAGGCATAGGGATATTTCATAGGGTGTTGATTTCAGTTTTATTTCCTCTTTAACGTGACTGGCTAGGTAGACAGGGTGGAGGGGAGTCATTTCAAAAACAGCAGGTTCTTGTCATTGCTCTACATTCTTCATGCTCTTTAACTTGAGGAAAATGAGATTCCACTTAGACCAATGAGAACTACCCTTGATCTACCCTGCCAGAATTGTCTTCAGTGATGAAATTTAGAATGATCTGACAATCTAGGAGTATTGAGTTGAAAGTAAGTCTGACCCCAAAATGTAAATTCTAAGTACGTATTAGTGTATAGTGGTTGATGTAAGTTATAGTCCAAGCACATATTTTGAACACAGGCTTAAGAACAATGTGGCTTAAAAATGATTCTTTACTTTCTTTATAGTTTTATGATTCTTTATTATCACATTACTATCAACTTCTATGGGTCTTTCTGGCCAATCTGCAGTCCTTGGAGATGTACACACACACACACAGACACACACACACACACACGCACGCACACCACAATGTATACAAATACATTTTTTAAAATTTAGCATTAGGAGTTAGGATTCCCAAGTATTGATTTATTCTGTTATGGAAACATGCTCTGATAATTCTAAAACATGCCCTTGACACTTAGAAAATCAGAGGATTCCAACCAGTAAACCTAATTCATCTGCCTCATTCACACTGAATTATCATAAATTTAATGGGAAACCAACCTGGCCACCTTGCCTTGGCAGCAATTTTCTCTATACATGTTTAAGGTAAAATGTTGAGAGTTCTTACCGGGCTGCGCCTCTGTGATCAGCAAAAAGGAATAGAGAACAGACACCTAGTCAGAGAATGATGGATCAGTCAACAGGCGTGGATAATCCAAGACTTCAACATGGCCACCACACACACACCCCAAATAATCAGGCCAGAGAAAGAAAGACAGGCAGGCTTTGTGTTTAGGGCTTGTTTAAACCATGGAAGGCTTTGCAGAACCTTACAGAGGGACTGTTGTATGATACAGCTTTGCTCATGGGGATGTTCAAGCTTTAGTTATGTGCATGGAAGAAAAAGACAGAAACATACAAAGTCTTTACTGATGGTGTTAATGTCTTACCACAAGGAGTTTTCTCCAGATTATTTGAAGAGGAAGGTCTAAGAGAGTAGAGAGTGCAGGGAAGACTGTTTCCCTGTGTGCAACTGGGTGTTGTTAGCAAGCATCACAGATGCATTTCCCATAACTAGGGCCTAAAAAGGAGCTTCCAAACAAATTAGGAGGAATGTAGAGAGCCCTCTTCTTCCATTTTTCTTTCTAGTGTTCTATTTAGAATGTGTGCTTCTGAGGACCTTCCATTTTTTGCTAAGTATCTGTCCTTGGCCTGGCGATGTGGGCATCCCATGAGTAGGCATGTGATGGGGAAGATGAGTAGCTCCTGATAAACACAGAAGGAACAGGGGAAACTGCTCAGCAACAGAACATGGGTGGACCCAACCGTGTCTGGAAAACACAAACAAGCAGACACATGACCTCTCTTTCCTCCAACCGTGACTGTAGCTGCCACCAATTTACCCCACAGCCTCTGATTACTGTCCCTCTTTAGGATCTTTTTTGCAGTAACATGAGTGACTAGGGTGTGGGAGGGGAGAGAGATGTGCAGAAGTTTGCGGATGTGAATATGTGCTAATCCAGGATTCACCAGATTCGCTCCTGGCCTCAGACAACTCAGGTCAAGAGCAACAAAAGAGAGGTACAGGAGGCTGCTCAACAGGAGGAGGCTGGCTACTTTTCAGAACAGACAGGACACAAAGGCCTGTAGCCTTTTTATCTGGGAGGCCTCCAGGGGGATCTAATCCACTGCTTTTATGATGCAGAGAGGAAAGGGAGGTTCCAGGACACACAGCTAGTAAATCCACAGAACCAGAGGCAGAATTTAGATCTCAGATCTTCTGTTCTGTTCTTTTCATGATTTTAAGTGTGACCTTGTGGGAGGATTTCTAGAGCAGAGAATCACTGAGGCTAACATCCAGGAACTGTGATTTCTCAGACCGGTTTCATAAGTGGCTAGGACTTTAAACACACTTACTTTAGCCAGTTTTCCTTGTAACAATTTAGACTTTATTATTTGCCCTATTTTCTAGGGACTGTTCCCTATTGATCCCACTTTTCTCATAAACCTGTCTGTATGAATGCCATTTAAGCAAAATTAGAAAAAAATGTCATTTATCAATTGTGTATTTGAGTTTAAATAAGATCACTTACCGACTAACCTATATCATGTTTTGAGGAATATTCACTATTTCAGAGGAAGATTCCTTAGTGACCAAAGTTCTTTTATAAAGAAGCAACCCATATCTCAATAATAACCCTAAATGTTAATGGCTTAAACTCACCAATTAAGAGACACAGGCTAGTAGAATGGATCACAAAACAAGACCCAACAACATGCTGCCTACAGGAGACGCATTTGATAGGAAAAGACATACATAGGCTGAAGGTGAAAGGTTGGGAAAAATCATATCACTCATATGGACTTCGGAAACAAGCAGGAGTGTCCATACTCATATCAAATAAAATAGATTTCAAGCCAAAGTTAATCAAAAGGGATAAAGAGGGACACTACATACTGCTTAAGGGAACCATACACCAACAAGACATAACAATCATAAATATTTATGCCCCAAACAATGGTGCAGCTATGTTCGTCAAACAAACTCTTCTCAAG